TAATTCAAATTAAAGGTTCAGAAGATCTTGTAACACACTAGATATGAATTTGTTTTTATAAAGGTTTGACAAAAGCGCCACATGATGAAGGTTCATTACCACTCTAATTAATGAAAAATAGATCCAGTAACCAGCAACAGTCGCTGCTATCACTTATTGCTCTGAAACAAGTTTTCCAGCCGTGAAGTTCAAGAGCCTGATTACAGATAATGGACCTAAGCTTTCTGTTGGGAATTTGTTCATTCTGCAGCCTCAACAGAATTTGAACTTTTGACATTTCCATCATGCTGTAGCTTGACTAGAGGTAAAATAGAAGCAGCCGTGGTGAAACTGCTAATAGACTGAAACATATGAAATTTTTCACTCATCGGGACACTAGGAAGGCTAATTGCCCTGGAGAAATGTTAGATTACTAGAAGTAGGCTCAAATTTAAGGTCAAAACGTTCACAAATAGGAGTTTCAAATCCCAAATTTAAATTGAATAAAGTTTAGACACTAGAGTCAGCAGTGTCCTGGAATCCAGGAGGGCCAACCATGTCCTGGGGGGCATCAGGCAAAGCATCGCCAGCCAGTTGAGGGAGGGGATTGTCCTGCTCTGCTCTGCACTGGTGTGGCCTCACCTTGAATATTGTGTGCAGGTCACCGAAATATAGGAAAGACATTAAGCTCTTAGTGAGTGTCCAAAGGAGGGCAATGAAGATGGTGAAGGGCCTTGAGGGGAAACTGTATGAGGGGTGGCTGAGGTCAATTGATGTGTTCAACCTGGAGGACTGAGGGGAGACCTCACTGCAGTCTACAACTTCCTCGTGAGGAGAACTGGCGTTGTAGGCATCCAGAGGGTGGTTATACTTGGAACAGGCTCCCTAGGGAAGTGGTCACAGCACCAAGCCTAACAGAGTTCAAGAAGTGTTTGGACAATGCTCTCAGGCACATGGTGTGACTCTTGGGGATGGTCCTGTACAGGGCTAAGGGTTGGACTTAACAATCCTTGTGGGTTCCCTCCAACTCAGGATATTCGATGATTCTATGACTAAAATTCACTTGCCCTTGCTGGGTGTCCTCACATAGGAGTCCCAAAGTCTCTTACAAAGTCAGCAGGAGAGAAAGAAGTTCCTCTGAAAGCCTAGCAAACTTCAGACAGGCAGGTGAGACCAGCAGGATCTTACTCTTCTGACTCAAAGCTTGTTATTTATTATTCCTAATTATTTTTATGATGTGTTAATTGGAATCTGCCTTCACAGACTGAGATTTCATTGTGACAGTAAAACCTCTGATGCACTTAGGAGACTGGCCAGAAGTTTTGTCAGGTCACATACCACCATTTAGGAGACCCATTGCCAGAGGAAGGACAATAGATTCTTCATTTAGTTCAGTGTCAGGGAATGGCTTGACAGGGAGGGGATGCCATACTTCTTCTTGGTTAGACTTGTCCTCTTTTATTTCAGGGATCTTCAGGGAGCTAAGGCACAGTCATAAAGTTCTTCCTGTGTGTCAGCATCCCTGGTCTCCAGAGGCAGCAGTTAGAATATGTAGTTCTTGGATTTCTGCTCTTTTTAACAACACAACACAGCAACATTGCTCTACAGTGCAAACAGCCAAGCTTCAGAATGATATGCCTGGGAAATTCAGTGTTTGCAGAGGTATGTACATATTTAAGTACTTTACATGCATGGAAGGATGGGTTGCTATTCTTTTTACAATATGTACACAAGTCATATACAATCAGAGAATATGCGCAGGTAACTCCTGACGTGGGACAAAATAAAAATCAAGGTTTAATACTACACTATTATTCCCATTTTTACAGAACTAAACAAGATTACAAACCTGTCAAATAATTTGATAGATATAATAACTAACATGTTAGCATACAGCAATGCTTGATGAACTAATTCGCCAGAATAGTGACATTGTAGGCACACTAACACAAGCACAGAGCTTTGGTCCTGAATAAAATTTCTTTGGTTATTAAGTTATTAATGGAAAAAATAAAGGCTATCTGAATGTGATCCTTGAGGTAATCCTCAATTTTGTTATTTCTAGCTCTTAGGCCATTACCCATTGTGAGTTATGTTCAATCACAAAAATAATGAAAGAACAGATCTGTTGGAGACATATAGCAAATTTAAGTAATAACAAACAGACTAAGTCTTCTGAAATATTATTGTTCCACTGTAACAATAAATGTAAAGTATAATTGAATGAATGGCTAAGTAAATAATTAAAAGGAATAGGCCCAAATTGGCCATGTGCTCTTAAGGGGACCTTAGCACTGATTTAATTGAGTTCCCCCTGAAGCCATCCTTTCTCCAATCTGAATATGTCCAGGTCCCTAACCCACTCCTCACAGGGCAACTGATCCAGCACTGATCATCTTGGTGGCTTCACTGAACTCACTCCAGTTTTTTAAGGTCTTTCAGGTATGGTGTTTGATGGGTAAAATAGGGTGCAGTCCACCACATCTTGGACATGGTCTAATGAGTGATGAGCAAAGAGAGATAATTGTGTGTCTTCACCTACTGATTGTGCTCTGGCTAACACAGCCTGTCGACCTTTGCTGTTGCAGCACACTTTGCCATGACTGCAAAGCCAAGGTGTCAGGCAAATAAGTATTTTATGTAGCAAGAGCTACAAGATGACGTGGCTTTTCCTCAAAAGATCAAATGTAGAGAGATGCTGAACATCAGAAACTCCATTCTGGGACACTTAAGTACAGAAATGGACCAAAATAATCAGTAGAAGAGAGACACAGAATAGTCAATGGTAAGATATTCAAGCTATTGGTTTATTTTCCAGAAGCTGCAGAAAAACGTTCCCTTTCTATCCAGTGAAGCAGCATAGGAAGATATCCACCAGCGATAGACTGTTGTTTACTAATTAATTGAGATAGCAAGTGATGGAGTTGCAAATGGGACAGAAAAGGTGCTTCTAAGGCCAGAGATTGCCTACATAAACATAGGTGAAACAAGAAGAGCAGGTAAACTCCAGAGAAAGGAGGAGATACCACATTCAAGTGAAGGAAACTCCAACGCTCAGGGAAGTTTGTGCCGGGAGACCTGCCTGAACTATTTCACCAACAGTAGGAGGGTAGATATGAGGTGTTTAAAGGAAAGGATGGAAATCTACACTAGTCACTCCATGAATCACAGAATTGTTTATGTTGGAAAGGACTTTGAAGGTCATTGAGTCAAACCGTTAACCCAGCACTGCCAAGTCTGCTGCTAAACCATGTCCCTAAGAACCACACCTACATGTATTTTAAATATGTGGAGTTTTGGACAAGGAAGACCCCTCTATTCAGGCTTGCTGGGAAATAACAGCTTAAACTGAAGTTAATCACTAGTATAAAACTTGCCAGTTGAGTGGGGACAGGAGAGGGAGGAGAAACAAATGCTGAACTGAACATTGGCATTTGGGAGAGCAGCAAAACACTCTTGAGAAGTCAAATGCTTCCGGCAACTTCAAATGCTCTAAAGGTGTTTCTAGTAAGTTCTAAATTGCTGTAGTAAGTTAATTTTACTAAAGTAACAGTGGTACTTCCTTATAATTGTGTGCTGACCAAATCAAAGTAGTTCTCTGACTACTGCAAAGTTTCAAGTGCACCATAAAATCTTGGTAGTAATGATAAGTCTAGTAAAGGAGGATAGCCTTTTGATAGCCTAAGAAGGATAGTGTTTGATGATTTCTGCTTTCAACTAGGCATGGAAACCTTGGGGCAAGCATGTGACTTGGTAAGGCACCTACCCACCTCCCCTGCTGCCTGAACAAAAATGCCAATCCTAATTGCTCCTCTTCCATAGTGTCATAAAATAGCATAGATGGGGTATTACTTTCCAAGACGGATACATTCAGTGATGTCTTTCCACTTACTCATGCAAGCTTCTCCACTGGGAGAAGGTATGGATTTATCAGGGAATGAGGCAGAAGGAAAAAACTTGCTCTATCCGTTAGCCCTAACCAGTGTACTGGCCTGCTATGCCACAGAACTGCGTAACTCTTTTTCAGACCAGGATGGCATACATCTACATGACAACTCGTTATTCACTGTTTACAGAGACCCATATGTTTAATGATTGTAAGCATGTGACTCTGTGTATTAGCTGCTGTGGAGATGCATGGAAGAACGTGTTTCCTGGCCCAGTCGATCCCTAAGTTATTTCGGGATATAGGCAAATGAAATTAAAGGCTGGAGAGAGAAAAATAAGTTGAGAGAGAAGTTGAGATATTAATATCCTGAAGTTTCACAGATGATCTGTAAAAACAATTTTCTCCAAGCCATTAGAAAAATAAGAAATTATCATATAAATTCATTAAGACATCCTTGATCTCTGCCTTTATTGGGAAATTGCTTTCCTGCAGATTTCTTTTCAAAATAGGGTTTTGACTGGTTGTGAGCCTATTCACCATTCTCACTAACAAATTCTAGGGCAAAGAAGGTGAGGAATATTCTCTTGAAATACCTGTAGAAGAAGTATGCTATATCCAGTGCTGGTGTCACTGCAGAGCAGATACCTGGACTGTCATGCAGAGAAGCAGCAATGTTGTCAAAAGATGTTTCTAAGTAGGTTTTCAAACTTATTGCAGCATACACGTCTGATCACAGAGGTAAAATGAGGAGAACATAATGTGTAGGCATACGTGCATGGTATCTGTGCATGTATGTAAAAGACATGTAATATGTCCATTAAATACATACAGCTCCTGTGATTTTCAATCAAATCAGCTCTCAACCCCTCATTCATCCTATATACAGGCTAGGTGCATGACATGTATGGCAAAATGTCTTTTGGAGAACATAGGAAACATGAACTGACTGGTATTCAAGGACATTGTGCTTTTATATCTAGAGAAACCTTGGGCAGATGACAGTTGACACAGCTATTCCGGTTTTACTGCCGGTTACTGTAAAAAGATTCCAGTAGTTTTCATTCAGAAGCAAAACAAGGAGGGGGAAGGTGTTTATTTTTATCTTAAAATAAACTAGAGCTAGGACACTCACCTATTACACAGAATGGTTTCCTTGCAAAGCGCAGTCTTCCTTGCCATCCTCGGTATCGACAACAGCATCCAGCAGACCAGATACGAATAATAAATTCCAAACCAAAGACAACAATCATGACAAATTCCTAGAAATGGCAAATAAGAAAAATGCCCGTTACAGATAAACAATGCTAAAGCATCAGGAAACTTATGACCACTGTTTGTGTCTAACAATCCACCCTGAGCATCTGAAGATCCCAAGCCAAACTTGGGAACCTGCTCCCCAGAAGCATCTACACATCTACAAGAAGTATCTTGTACAGTCCCCATCATCTACAGTCCCCAGAGCTTCCTAGTAAATGGTCCATGTCCAACCTGAATACCATTAAATATTGCTTAATATTGGCTAATAAATATGAAACACTGAAGAACTGAATCATACACAAAAAATGTCAGAGCTTTGGATACTGCGGGTCAGACCGTAGGTAATTTAGACAACTAGTGAAGAATATGTTCCATATTCATATCCATAAAATTAGTTTAAAGGTGAAATGTTTTGGGAGATATGTTCCCATTGCTGCAATATACACATGAAGTGACTGAGATGATGCAGAAGCATTTAGGAAATAAATTTGTTCTCAGAAGTATGTTAAGATACATGAAAGAAGTACGTTAAGATACATGAAAGTGTAATTACATACAACGGGTATGTAATTGTTTGTAAGGTAGTAAATGAATGTGTCCACTAGGCATAACTTTCCCTGGACAATTTGTGAATGAAAGTGTTTATAAATCTTGCCTTGGTTGTTTGGTTTGCTTTTCTTTCACAGGGGAACCTTCTTTAAGACTGTCTATTTTAATAACACCAAGCTGTATTTATGCAATTTTTTTTCTAAGAAAGTTTTCATGACAACAGCGAGGTCAAAAGGGTTGCAGTAATAGAGTAATTCAGCTCCATACCCTAAGGAAATCTAAATGCATACACTGTGGAGTAATATAGTACATATACACTGGTATGGAATTATAATTTTAGGTACTCTTCTGGAATAGCATCATAAAGTTCTGAGTTTTGGAATGAAAAAATAAAAAATTTTATGTTCACCAAAAGGAGAAAAGTACTTGATGGAGTTTCTTCAACAGCTCATCAAGAAGAGAATGGAAGTTGTGTTTTATTTGGCAGTTGAACGTATTTTCTTGTCCAGAAGTAAAATGTTCCTCGTCAGCCAATTAATTGGTTATTCCTGCAGGATAAGGACTAGTGTGGTACTGGTAAGAAAGCACTGCAAATGAATTAGAGGAATATTTGCAATGGTAGAGTTGATCCAATATTGACTTTTCCCCAGTAAACACTTTGCATGCTTTTAGACTGTGAGACCCTACAACTCTACAAGCCAATAAGGCTGTAAATATAATAAATGTCTACTCAGGCATTAATTTACCTGAAAAATTGGCAAACAAATTATTAATGTTGTTTCATGTAATGGTTCTTTACTAGATTATGATTAGTGGAAGTACATGGAAACATTGCGAATTTAATGGCTTTTGCCATCATAGAACAATTTGAAAACACAATATTCCTTTCTAAAACATGTCAGCTTGTTTAACTACATTATACTGAAAGCACTTTTAGAGCCTTCTTCAGTGTCTTTCTTTCAGTTTTGTAAATCCCAGGCTGAATGCCTAAATCACAAAAGCAGAACAATGTCCCTCTGCTAAAACATTGCTAAAGAAAATGTCATACTTTTTATTAGCAAAGAACACAAGGAAAAATGAGTGTGATTGTTTAATGTTTTGTTTTTGTTCCACTATAAGAAACTTTAACTTAATTCCACGGACAGTGTTATTACATAGCCTCAGAAAGGATTATGTACAAAATTGAGAAAGTTCCCCACATAGTAACAATAATTCTTAATAGTTGGCTACCGTGTGGTACATTTCCTTTTAGGAAATTCTGTGTAGGCCAAGACTAAAATGGACAGTAAGCCAACTGGAAAAAAGGAAGAATATATATTTTAGTTATTTAACTACCACTTTTATAGAGATAGTGAAATCATGGATTGTGAAATCTGGTTTACACATTGTTAGATGATGTCTCTGAATTTATGGGGGTTTGATGGCAGGCACCCAAGCCATCCAACATCTGATTCTCCTAATGGAGTTTCCTCTTTGGTGTAGGTGTAAGAGATACTGAAGGAGAGGAGGTCTGTGAAGCACAGAAAATTCTTTGCTTCCAATAAAATCCTTTCCTTGTTAAAATTTAACCACATTTCATTTGACTAAAGTTTGTTGTTTCCCTGGAAAACATATTATATGTACAGATGGGTGATATGCTTTGTAAGTACACTGAAATTGTCACAGACATCTTACAAGAAATGATCCACACATGCAGGAGTGTGTCCTCTACCATACTCTAGACCTCAGCAGGGCCTCTGATGAAAAACTGACAAGAACAGAAAGTACTTAATGAACCTGGAAGGACTAGTTCACAGCTACAATTCAGTTAAATTAGTATCACAATGGTAGAAGTACAAAAGAGGCAATTTTTTTGGAAGTTCACTCTTCTGGCTCCTACCAGTGCTTTGCAGTTTTGTATTCATCACCTGTATGGCTATGTGCTATGCTTGCTCAGTTATAAAAAAATGAAAAAAGTAATTGTGTGCTGAAAACATGTGCTTGAGTGTCTCTGTACTACATGATGCTCTTTTATGTCAGAGACAGAAATCCTATTTGTCCCTCACACACAAATACATATACTACAAAGAGAAACTTCTTGGAGATACATCTATTTTGGGAGACAAAAGGAGTAAAAGGATACTTTTCTCAGCATTTTTTTGTGTGGGTGGGGTAAGAATATAAGATTTTTTTTTAAGAAACAATGTGAAATATTTCTGTTCATTCCTTGAGAAAAATAGTTACAATTTCTAGCACCATTAAAATTTATGCATGGCGATATTCCCTCAGTATTAACTAAAGTTTCTGCTACTAAGTAAATTTTAAAAAGAGCCACTGTAGTTACAGTAAGTGAGATCAAATACAGAAAATATGACTCTGTGCACTTGGAAGTTAAAAGAATTGCTGATTTTAACAATACTATATATGATTTTCTTCCACCAATATCAAATTTCTAGAGGTTTTAAAGTACATTATAACCTTTAATATAGAAAAGACACTGAACAAAGTGTAGATGAGGTTTCACACTTATTTTTGCACTTCCTGAAATAGTTGTGTTTCAAACTGATCCTTAAATGCTGGTGACTCCTACCTCCTCGAAGAACAACTGATTTTAAAGGGAATACACATAACAATTAAGTCTAAGGGAAAACGATTTTCCTAAAAAATGTGAATGCATTGAAACAGAACTCTTCACAGTAGTATATATGACAGCTTTGTTGTATTTTAGATTGGTCTGGGTCAAAAAGAGAGACAAAGAATCCTACACCACTGTGTAAAAAAACAAGTGTTTTAGTAACCAGGGCACGTGGTCACAATGTACAGGCAAATCTCTGTCAAGGTTAATGCAGGGCAGGGAATGACATTATCTTTTTTCCTACGGCAACTGTATAGTCACAAGGTACTTCGTTTTCCATGGACAAAAATTGGAAGAATGAATCCCAAACAAGATCGAGATTTCTACTTTTATTTTTTTTTTAATTTCATTTGGAAGGCTTCTTGCAAACTTAAACATAAATCTAGGCACTTAAGTAACTTGGGTTTAGTTCCTTAGGAACTGGAACAGAAGATCAGAGCATAATTGGAAAGGCATGTGACAGAATATCTCATTAGACCTCATTTGATTTGTAGACCTGGTGTAGAACTGATGCATTCCTGTATCTCTATCCTACATATAAATGATGGAGCTGCATTAATTTTGAATTCCTTATGTGATATGAGTTACAACATTTACATCAGAATCAGAAAATCCTGCATTCTTGATAAATTTGGCCTCTTCAAAATTCAGCAAGGCTGTATTTGAATTGATGAACAAGTTTAGATTTACTGGAAACCCAACACTTCCCTTCCAATGTAGAGCAGAGGTGCATTGTCCTTTGCCATTTCTTGCTTTTTCCACATCTTGTCATCCTTTTCCAATCACAGCTGCCTCTGGCCTTGCACCACAGTTACCACAATCTGTCACTTTTTTGGCTATTTAAAGTCACAGTTACCAACCCCCAGTAACTGCTATGGTGGTTCACACAGTGGAAAGTTCTTCTTCCTTCTCAAAGCACAATTCATCCAAATGAATGAACTTTTCATTCTGAAGTGTTTCCGCACACACAGCTCCAGTTGACTTGGGGAACCATGCATACACAAGAGTAGCAAGGTTGAAACATATAGGCTTGAAAAGTTCAGTTGCTTTTGGTGTGAGGAACACAGGTATCAGAGTACTCCTTAAGTTTTTTACATCTGTGTGTGCCTGGGCTGTTATACCACTGGAATGACGAAGGTCACACAAATGGCAGGAAAGGAAAACAAGAGGTCATCCAGAGCAACATTTCTGTTAACAAAAGATCCTGGAGGACTCTTATCAACAGGGTTGATAATTAGCCAAATCAAGCATACTTTGTACAATCCAGCTACATAAGCATATTTCCCCCCTTTCTTTCCCCCATCTAATTAGGATACAAGAGATGATTTGTTGAAATTGTTTACATTAATATGCTTTTCATGTAGTTTTTAATGATAAGGATTTCCCTAAGCAAAACATTATAACAGCAAAAAAAGAGCTTATATCATAGTTTCTTACTCTTTAGTATAACAGCTTATTAAAAGTTTAAACAATTTGCTGATGATGAATCCAGGTGCCTTCACTGCAGACTGTAGTTTCTGGGAATTAGAGCCATTTTTGCGATAAGAAAATTACCAAAGTTGAGCACTTTGTGCTATTCAAGGATGCTCCTGGTTATTTCGCAACTTGCAAATGAGCTAATGTTTGCTATAAGAAATTCACCCACAAGACAATATCTCTGCTGTTATTTTAATTATATTCCTGCTATGGAAGTTGTGATGTTAATTATTCTAAAGGCTAATGAAGCAGCACGAAAGAACTGCAGACTGACATAAAGAGCTGCCTACCTTGAACTCATAGGAGGACTGGGTCTATAAGAGACATTGTCAGAAGCCCAAGAAATGGACAAGAACAGATCAA